TAAGACACCAGTCCAGTCTGTGCTGAAACGCCACTGTCAATCAAACTATCGTGGGAGGGGCCTGTAGGTCTAAGGTAAGACACCAGTCCAGTCTGTGCTGAAACGCCACTGTCAATCAAACTATCGTGGGAGGGGCCTGTCTGTGTGACGTCACATAGACAGGCATCTGAGATCGGCTCGATTTGAGAAAGGGGTAAAGATTTTAGTAGATTAAAAAAAAACATAATTATAGGGTGGTTGTGTACACACACTGCCATCACACATTTCAGTTCAAAACACTTGTAAAAGTGCATGTAGCATCGGATGACCCCTTTAACACATTAACTCACACTACAGCATGTGGGGTAATTTGTCACACTTTTGTCCTGCTTTGCATTGACACTGATTTGAGGAGAATATATTTTATTTAAAAAATAAATATTGCATTTAAAGGCACAATATGTAAGATTTTTTCATTAAAATATCCAAAAACCACTAGAACAGTTTTATATATTTTGCTGACTTGTGTACTTACATTATCCAAAATGTTTCAAAGAATGTTTAAATCCAGAGAAATTATTTATAAAAATATTAAAAACAAAATACTTCCACAATATATTTGTTTGCATTACATGTAATAGCTACATGTAAACAACTGAAAAAAATGAAACAAAAATTAATAATAATTATAGTTAAATAACATAACTTTTTTAAATATAATTATATTTGGAAACAAATAAATCCATTTATATGAACATATATGCAGTGCCAAATAGGCATTGGATATATTATGTCTGTCTGTGAATATATATACATAAACATGTATGTATATATATAATTATGCATCTTCTATGTACTACAGGCAAATAATAAATAGAATTTATGCTATGAAATTGTCTGTGTGTATAGTTTTTTTTAATACCAATTTTTAATATTAAGAAGGTTGTCTGTAACACAAGGTAATTTTCATTGAAAATTTAATTGAAACATACATTATATAATAAGCAGATTATTAAATGACAGTCAAAAATGTAGTGAAACGTTACACACACACACACACAAAGCATTACTTAAAGTAGCAAGAATAAGTTTGTGAACCCTTAAAAAAACCATGGATTTCTGCATTTATTATTTCTTGGTCTTGTCTTAATATAATTCACAATTATAGACCAACACAGTCTGACTTAACTAACAACACACAAGCAATTGTACTTTTTACATTTTTATTGAATACACAGAGCACTAATTGTTTGTCTGTAATTGTGGATTCTGAATTAGCAATGCAAAAATTCAGATATTTTCACATAGGGTTCACATACTTATTTTTGCCACTGTACATTCATAATTAATGTTAATTTAAGTAATTTGAAGTTCTCTCTTTCAAAATATTATTTTTTTTAACTCATTCTTTGTGAAATGACGTCAGTACGTAATGCGTTGCGTTGCGTGTTGAAAACATGCTCATCATCAGAACTGGTCCGTTACTGTTTACTCCGCAGTAGCACTTGTGCGTCACTAGAGGGCGCGTGTTGCTGTTAAGCACATGAACTGCTGAGTCACTTTTGTTGTAGGCCATCCGGCCATTTTCACTTAGATTTAAAAACTTTATTTGGGGTGCCTGTGACCATTACTAGAAAGTTAATTCTGATGAGCTATTTTGTTATCGTGCTGTTAATCACAAATCAGAGCTTGTTTTCTTATTGTGTATTGTATTTTAGTGCAGTGCCATTAATCTGTTAGTGATTTATGTGATATATAATTCCTGCACCATACAAATGCATATAGAGAAGAATGGGGTTATTTGTCACTCCTTTTCCCCCAGTGAATATTTCTCTGTGTAGGTTTATTTTAGCTTTCTGTACTAGTAAAGTCTTGGCTTAAAAAAGCCACTGAACACACACTTGTCCCACGATTGTTTCAAAGGGGAAAAAAATATACAGTTCATTAACACATTAACTCACAATACTGCATGTAGTGTAATTGGTCACAAAGGGATCCTTCTTTGAATTGACATTGATTTGAGGAGAATATATTTGTCAGGATCATGGACCTGTTTTGTTATGTTTTGCCCTTGTTTCTGTTCCTGTGTTCCCTTATTTGGTCATGTTCCTGTCCTTGTTTAGTTAATTAGTCATTCTGTGCACCTGTGTTTGGTAATTGTCCTGTGTTTATAAGTTCTTGTCTGTGCATTTCTCCTCTGTCGGGTCTACTTGTTGAATGTCTTCCTTGTGCTCTGTCTTCCCATTGGATTATTAAAGACTATTGTTCGTGCTAACTCCAGCGTCTCCTCGTTTCCTCCCAGAGAGATTGTGACAGAAGACCCGACCAAAAACAGTAACCTCCGTTTGTCTACCCTCCGTTTTGTTTTCCGGTTTTCTCACAGTGTTGGAGCAGGGGGAGTGCTCGCTCGGGGACCATACCAGACTGTTTCTGGCTCTCGCCGAGCCTAGACGGGGCTTCCAATCCAGAGTTAAGCCCTGAATGCCCGGAGGCGCACAAATGCCCGCCCTCCCACCCACTCCTGTCTCCTCCACTGCTGTCGTCTGGCAGCCCCTCTGCTCGCCCTCAGCTCACCATCA